CTCCAAGGGTCTCCTAGGAAATTTCAAGGGTGCTGCTCAGCAGTGATCACTTAAACACTTCCAACTACACAAAGCAACGGGTCAGCTGCATCATCCCTCGAGCACCAAGGAGGGAGGCTATTTGAGGTTTTTACTTTTCAGGCAAGTTGACCTTGATCTGATATACTCATTAGCAACAGTGAAAGATGTTTCATCTTTTAATTTTCTCAAACATCAATGCTTAAATGTGTTTCTCTTACCCTTGATTGCTGCATCTTTTAGTATCACACCATAAAAGAGCAAAGCAACTAAAAGTCTGGTTTATGTTCCTGGCCCTGATGATAAGTTCTCATCTAAAAGGATGCCTCTAATTATAGAACCAATATAAGAATAAAAATTTAGGAATTAAAACAATGAAGCTATTTCTAGAGAGATCAATCTGAAAAATGCTCCTCGGAAACTGCCCAATGCCTTTGGGCAGCATGCCTGCTCAGCAGTACATAGAGGAGGAAGAGCTTATGTGGTGTTCATTGAATACTGAAACCCTGAAATTCCCAGAACTATGGGTCAAATCACCTGGAGTGAGTTGGGAGTGGAGACTCAGTTCCCCAAATTAATTTTTCACATTGCCATAAACTGCAATTAGAAAAATTCAACTTTAATAGTTAATGTCACATGAAAGTGGACCTTGCTCTTGAAAATCAAGAAAATTATTCAAGCAGCTGAATCAATACATTCAATTCACAAACATTGTAGAATTGTTTCGGGTTCTGGGAAGATGGAAAGGGAGCAAAAGGAGGCAAATTTATTTTTTATTTAGAAAGATCAAATTAGAGCTTGTTCGTCCTCTTACACAGGATACTAAAATATAAATTCATGACAGTATTTCCAGGTTTTTATATATGTGTCTAGGCTTCTCTCTTTTAAAAAATAGCCATTGTCTCATATACATTTCAAGTGAAGTAGTTAAGCTCAGTCTAGGGCTAAAAAAGTTTGCTTGTCCAGACTCTTAATAGTTGTCCCCAACTCATGTGAATGATAAAAACTCTGCATAGACTGTCTCCTGAGTTTATAATTTCTCTACTAATAGCATAAGAATGTATGTTCTTTAAATATGACTTTTATATACAAGAAATCTTAGAGTAGCCAAAATTTAGAGTTTGGCTTAAATTCTTTGATATAACTTAAGGGTTACCAGAGAATACCTCATTACCAGCCTTGTTTGTGACCAAAAATTTTTCCATATATCCAAATCTAAGTCCTGCCTAACTCAACAGGTATAGTCAGCATAATCAAACACAGCTTTGTTATCTTAGGACACTACTCTGAGAAGTATTTTGTTCAACAAAAGCAACTAATTCCTGCACAGTATTGTCCTGGTCTCTAAATTCTTCTCAGTTATGTGTTATGATCTCATGGATTCTATTTGAGAAGACTTACTTTTAAATGATCTAAATTTGTTGGATATAGAGCAATATCTTCTCTCACAAAAACAATACCACATTTTTAACAAAATTAGATAACATGGTATAAGATATCTATAGGTAGCAGAAAATAAAGCCTATATTTGATTTTGAAATGTGGTTAATTTTAACTTTATAAACACTGAAATCAAATATACAATTTCCACAGTATATCTAAAAAGTTTCTGGGGACTGGTATTGGGATGGCAACTGAGATTCAGTATAAGAGAGCAAATTTAGTTTATATCAACGTTCCATAGAAATAAAGATGAAGAAATAATCAAAACAACTTATAGAGATCAGAAAAGGACTGAACCAAAGCACTGATGAAAGCATATTCTCCAACAAAATATACTTCTGTCCTTAATATAGATGCCAATTTAAGGGGGAGTATGACTCGCTGTAAAATTTCTGCTCTAGAAAAATGAATTTTTAACAATTTAAATGGCACCATTTTCCTTCACTCAGGCATCCAAAAACCTTTTGGGAATATAGACTTAGTATCCTTTATCCAAAATGCTTGGGACTAGACGTATGCAGATGTGGGGGTTTTTCCAATATTGGAACACTGATTAAAGACTTTACTAGTTGAGAATCTCTAAGATGAAAAAAAATCTAAAATCTGAAATAATCCCAAATCCAAGGTGCCAAAAACATGCATTGGAGAAAAGATAGCTTCTTCAACAAATGGTGCTGGGACAACTGGAAATCCATATGCAACAAGTTGAAATTAAATATCTCTCACCATGCACAAAACTCAACTCAAAATGGATCAAGGACATAGGAATAAAACCAGAGACCCTACATCTAATAGAAGAAAAAGAAGTTCCTAATAAGACTCCTTTGGTACAAGAATTAAAATCAACAATCAATAAATGGGATGGACTAAAACTTAAAAGTTTCTTCTCAGCAAAAGAAACAATCTGTAAGGTGAATAGAGAGTCTACATCTTGGGAGAAAATCTTTATCCCCCACATATCAGATAGAGCACTAATCTCTAGGGTATATAAAGAACTCAAAAAGCTAAGCACCAAAAAAAAAAAAAAAACAAAAAACAAAAAACAAACAAAACAAATAACCCAATCAATAAATGAGCCAAAACCCTGAGCAGACTCTTCTCAGAAGATGATATACAATCAATCAACAAATATATGAAAAAATGTTCATCATCGCTAGTAATTAGAGAAATGCAAATCAAAACCACTCTAAGATTTCATCTCACTCCAGTCAGAATGGCAGCTATTATGAAGACAAACAACAGTAAGTGTTAGCGAGGATGTGGGAAAAAAGGTACACTCATACACTGCTGGTAGGACTGCAAACTGGTGTAGCCAATATGGAAAGCAGTATGGAGATTTCTTGGAAAATTGGGAATAGAACAACCATTTGAACTAGCTATCCCTCTCCTCGTTCTATACCCAAAGGACTTAAAAACAACACACTATAGGGACACAGCCACATCAATGTTTATAGCAGCACAATTCACAATAGCTAAACTGTGGAACCAACCTAGATGCCCTTCAGTAGATGATTGGGTTAAAAAAAATGTGGCATATATACACAGTGGAATATTACTCAGCAATAAAAGAGAATAAAATCATGGCATTTGCAGGTAAATGCATGGATTTAGAGAAGATAATGCTAAGTGACATTAGCCAATCCCCAAAAACCAAATGCTGAATGTTTTCTCTGATATAAGGAGGCTGATTCCTAGTGGGGTAGGGAGGGGGAGCATGTGAGGAATAGATGAACTCTAGATAGGGCAGAGGGGTGGGAGGGAAAGGGAGGGGGAGGGTGTTAGAAATGATGGTGGAATGGGATGGACATTATTATCCAAAGTACATGTATAAAGACATGAATTGGTATGAATATACTTTGTATACAACCAGAGATATGAAAAATTGTGCTTTATTGGTGTAATAAGAATTGTAATGCACTATGCTATCATATATAAATAAAAAATTAATAAAAATTCAAATATTTTTAATTTCTAAAAAGTTTTTATTAGTGCACTATAATTACACATAAGAGTGGAGTTCATTTTGACATAATGATAAATGCATTTAACAGTTTGTTTATTCTCAATCCCTGGTTCTTCCATTTTCTTTAAGAAAAAAAACTGTGGAATGAAAATTCAAGTTTTTTGAGCATCATTTTGGCACTGAAAAATTTTCAGATTTTTAAGAATTTTTAAATTTTCAAATTAGGGGTGCTCAACCTGTATTAGTTTGACTCATTTGCATTTGAAGACTTTTCAGTGAGCCCTTAAATCAGTCAATCCTAGTACTGGGGGTCTAGCTCAGTAGCAAAGCACTTGACTAGAACGTGCAAGGTCCTGCGTTCAATCCACGCCCCCCCACCAGAAAATAAAAAAATTAACCAATGGCTTACACATCTATTACTCTAATCACTTGAGATCCACCAAAGACATCCTACCTTTTCTCATAAGGTTGTTCTCTACCAAATGTAAAAGAGTAGTCAACGGTAACCAGCAATCAAAATAGATGATAGGTTTGTTTTCATGCTATTTAGTAAGCTTTTTTACCCAGACTTTTAGTACAGTGATTTATATTTTATAGCTCTAAGAAAATTAAAATGTCTTTGTTCACTTTATAAGCCACATATACAAAGAAACTGCTGCATTCAGATTTGTTGCACTCAGATTTGGTGGTTAATATAATCGGGTTAATATGTTAAAAAGAACTTGACACAAAAATTATTAATGAGTACAACAAGGTCACTACTTCTGAGCTGAGGTCACTTACAAAGAATGCACAAATGAAATTAAGGTTGACTTCTATTTACTTGACTATCTTCTTACATTGGATTCCTTTGGCAACATATCTTTAAACATTTAAAGCTCTGTTTACAGGGAGGCTCTGAAAGAAGCTTCAAACCATTATGCCTCTAATTGAATTCCCCAGGAGTCCAGTAAACTCAGAGGAATAAAGAAAAACCATAACATTTGCTAAATCATCTCAAAACATATTTCATTGCAAGGTTATGTGGCCTGTTTTTTGAGGTTCAAAGATGAATGAAAAATATTACTGAATACTTCATTATTTAGACTAAAATAAAAAAAGAAGTTTACCTATTAGTGGTAAGCAAATTAAACCAGCCCAGTTTAAACTTTTTTTCTGTCAGATTTCTCCCAAGAGAAATCTGACAGAAAACAATAACAACATTTTATATTTATATGTGACCAGTCTCCCAGACTATGAAAGTTCTCAGGAGGAAGAAAAGGTCTTTAACCAAAGACAATTATTCACAGTGAAGGTATGAGAGAGAGCTGACAGAAATTTTGTAGTCCTCAGGGAAAGCAGCAGCATTTTATCTGTGAATTCAGAACTGATAAAATAAGAGAAAATAAAAGTTGTAGCAACTAATTAGTTTATTAAAATGCCCCCTCTTCCCAATTCTAATTTTACTTTAAAATAAGCTTTTATGATCTTTTTTATTCAGAGTTCACTTGCATGCCCCTGTGTTTGTTGTGACTGCAAAGCAAAAACATGTGGATCTGAGCAATTCCAAAAGAATGTGAAGTCTCTCTCTACTTACCTGGTTTGTATGTTATTCCAGGGGGGAAGAGGAATCCCTGTTGGGCAGCAGCAGCTGCTGCCAGGGTCCGCTGGTCATGTGGAAAAATTGGGATCATGAGCGGAGGCATGTGACCCTGAACCTGCTAAACAGAAGAGAGCCTATGATCAGACAGAGAGCAAATGTATGCCAAGAAGTCTTTGTTTCTCACTCCTGGTGGTGTGCTGGTACCCACACGGCCACCTACCTCTCACTTCATTCCAGATCTTAAAGCTGAGAAAAATTCAGGCAAAATCCACTAAATCTTTTTTATTTTATTATTTTTTTTTAGATTCTGTTAGCATATCAAGGACATAACTTAATTGTAAATTTGCCTCTGTGTTTCACCAGAAGGTGGTTAATGGTTTTCATTTATCCTATTTTGCTTTTATTTTCCTTCTTTTTTTATAAACAAATAACTAAAAGAAATAAGTTTGCTTCTTTTCTTACACTACAATGTTGAGAGATTTTGCCCTTTCACCTGCTTTGCATTCTTTGCTTTATTTTGAAAAGAGTATTTAGTATCCTTGGTCAGAAAATAATGTCTAATTGTTATATATTCCAAAAGCTGTATCTATCTATCCAATTTAGGTATCTTATTTCAAAGCCTCACTGCATTATATTAAACATATAGCTCTTCAGATTTAAGGCTACTACATCTTGGCTTCCAATTAAACTAATATTCTTTGCCATACACACCTCGATGTAACATATAAATTGCTTGTCTGGCTAAGCAGTTTTACAGCTTTATGCACTACCATGTAGCTCAGTAATTATGGAGTTGTATTCAGAGAGCATTTCATAATAAATCCTACTATATCAAATTTCATTTGACCTCAATAAATGTATCAAAGAGCACAAAAATGCAAAATAGAAAATCTTTACTCTATATCAGTATTTGTATTCCATATAAAGAAAATAAGAGCTATGACAGAATCATGCTTGTTGAAATTACATTTTAATTTCCTAGTTTCCTTCTTTACTCTATGCATGCTGCCCTGATTCCAGGATAGCACAACAGGAAGGTTTTATCCTGGCTTTGGGGACATGATTTTAGGTTGGACTATAGGACATTTCTCATTTAAAGATCAAAACTGTAATGTACCAAAAGAAGTGATCTGTTAGCTCAAACACGGTCTTTGGCCTCTTTACTAGAAAAGGGCTGCACTTTATCTTAAGAAATAAACCTTTACCAGTAATTCAACCAGTCCCAAACCCTTCCCCTGTCTAAATTCCTAAATCTTCTCTTTAGGCAAAATTCCATATACTGGTTGATGACCCTGCTTAAATAGCACTGACTTGCCATGTCCTGTCCCTGTTCCCTCCACAACCAGGAACATAGTGCAAAAATATGTGGGTCTAAGAGGTTTCATTTACCAACAGTTTTTCTCTAGGGAAAGCCCTAAGATGTGGGTTAATAAAGGGCAAGCAAAAAATAAACACTTTACAGTATTTTTCTGAATTCATTTCTCAGGAAAATCAACTTATAATAAAAAGGTCTTTGTGCAATTACTACCTTGCCAGTGGGGCGTGAAAGAAACTAGCTTTGAGCAGCTATTTCTTACATTTTAGCTGAGGTAAGCCCAAGTTTTGTACATAAGAGTACAAACTTAACCTGCTTAAATTGAAGCTGATCCCCTAGTGTCCAGGTCTTGCCTTTAACCCTGAAGAAATGCACTCAACTTGCTGTTCAATTCCAGTTTGTTGTAACCTAATATAAACCTGAAATGTGAGAGATGAATGCACTGTTTTATGCCAGAAAACAAACATGCTATGTTTGTGGGTGACCATCATTCAGTAAAAGAATACATCAGAGGAAATAATTTCATTCTCCTCTAGAAATATAGTTTTAGCACATACCTAGAACATAGGGCAGGTGCCTTGTGCTATAGAGAAGAGAAGCAAGAAATACGAGCATCATCTCTGTTTATTCTTTCCTTCTTTCATTTAATGAACATTTATTAAGTTGTTACATTAACTATTAGGAGTTTTGAGAAATAGCTGAAGAAATTGGGGATACTTGTGACAGAAATGATATCAGATTATTTTTAAATATCTGAAGAAATGATGTGTGGAAGAAGGATCAGATTAAGACTACATGATTACCAAGGACAGAACTAGGTTCAAATGGAAGATATTTGGGGAAAGTTTAATACAAAGAAGAATTTTCTACTAATAAATTATTCAAGAATTTTTAGTGCTATTCATTAAACAGCGTCTTAGAATGAAATTTTTTCTTCACATTTTCACTTTGATTACCCAAGTTCTTGAGATGACAAGAGAGTATAAGGGGGTAAATGACAATTATGAACCAAACTTCAACTGTCTATGTCCATGAGATAACTAAGTAAATTATCTATGGTCATTTTAATGCCAAAGAATTGTAAATGTTTTATATTAACATAAACTGGAAGAATTTAAGGAGGTTACTTTCTGTCCATCACACTTTACAAACTAGGATATGTTAAAAACGTATGCTATTATCCAGAGGCTATTTCAATAAGTTGAGAGACACAGTTAAAAAGGAGAGAGACAGGAGACAACTAGAAAGCAACAGTAATGACAGAATTATAGAATAGGAATAGAACTTAAGAGATGATCTAAAAATACAAAAACAACAACAACCAAATAACCCAATCTATAAATGATCTAAGGATCTGAACAGACACTTCACAGAAGAAGAAATACAATTGATCAACAAATAAATAAAAAAGTGTTCAACATCTATAGCAATTAAAGAAATGCAAATCAAAACTACTCTAAGATTTCATCTCACTCCTGTCAGAATGGCAATCATCAAGAACACAGACAAAATATTGGTGAGGATGTGGTGAAAAAGGTATGTACACTCATACATTGCTGGTGGGACTGCAAATTGGTGCAACCACTATGGAAAGCAGTATGGAGATTCTTTGGAAAATTGGGAATGGAACAACCATTTGACCCAATTATCCCACTCCTTGGTTTATATCCAAAGGACTTAAAATCAGCACACTACAGGGACACAGCCACATCAATGTTTATAGCGGCTCAATTCACAATAGCTAGACTAGGAAATCAACCTAGGTGTCCCTCAATAGATGAATGGATAAAGAAAACGTGGTATATATACTCAATGGAATATTACTCAGTTTTAAATAACAGTTAAATTATGACATTTGCCAGTAAATAGTTTGGAGAATATCATGCTAAGCAAAATAAGCCAATCCCATAAAACCAAAAGCCAAATGTTTTCTCTAATATATGGATGCTAGATCACAAAAGGCGGGGGGCACTAAGGAAGAACAGTGTTACCTTAGATTAGGTAGAGGGAAGTGATGGGAGGGGAGGGGAGAGGAAGGCATGTGGGGATAGGAAAGATAGTAGAATGAAACAGACATTATTACTGTATGTATATATGTGACTACATGACCAATATGATTCTGCATCATGTACACTCAGAAAAATGAGAAATTATATCCCATCTATATATGATATATCAAAGTGCATAAATGCATTCTACTGTCATGTATAACTAATTAAAACAAATTAAAAAATTTTAAAAAAAGATGATCCAACCTTATAGTTCTCAAAGTGTAGTACCTAAAGACCAACATTGGCAACTATGGTACATTTTTAAAAAGCAAATTATCAGGCTCCACATCATACCCATTTAATCAGAAACTCCAAAAGTGGGTCCACTAATCCAAATTTTTAACTAAAGCTTTATTAAGAGCAGTGATTCTCAAATTTCAGTGGACATTGGAATCAACTGCTGAGCTTGTAAAACAACAAAAACAAAACCCAAACAAAACCCACAAGTGTTTGGCCCCACCCTCAGGGACTCTGAATCAGCAAATCTAAAGTGAGGTCCTAGAGTGTACATCTGCATTTCTAACAAGTTTCCAATTGAAGTTGGTGCTGCTGGCCCAGGGACCATTCTTTGAGAATCACTAATCTAGTCCACATTTAACAAAACATAAATATGGAAGTAGATGGCTAGAGAAGATAAAAAAAAGTATAAGCTAAGGCTACACATCCTATGACAAAGCTGATCTATAGTTCAAAATTGCTAATCACCCTATCAGTGCTTTACCCATCATATAACATGGACTTCAGTGATTGAAAAGAATAAATCACTTGTATACACTGTTTCAGCAGAGAAAATCTGGAGATAACCAGTAATTTTATATCAGAGGTGTATTGTTGTAGGCAGTTATGGGGTTGAATGTTGTCCAATTAAAAAAAAAAAGTCCTTCCTCTCTCTTATTTTTACCCAGAACACACTTGTTCTCAATATTTATTGCCATTAATTCCAATTGTTTATTACAATATATTCATTAGTAATGATCATTTAGTTTTAAATGATAAAATTGTCCCTAACTTATTTTAAATAAAACAATATTGTGAAAAGTCAAAGTGCCCTTTATTAAAGACAACAGAATATCTAGCAACTAGTTAGCCTGAGAAAAGATGATGAAAAACTCCTCTTTTAACTCTAATTATGGATGTATTAATATTGATGATGGAGATAATAAAAACAACCACAGCAGCTAAGACTTTTCAGTGTTTCCTATATGTTCATCACTAGTAAAGTGATTTATAAAGTCCTATCTATTAAAATAGGCATATTTACTGAGAAATAAAAAATTCATTTAAGGAGAAAGAGAAAAACCATAAGAGGTTAAGTAACTTCATCAACTAAAAAGTGTTGGATCCAGGATTTAAGTCCACATCAAAGTCAAGGTCAAAATTTGCATTTTTTTCTGAAAAGTTTATACATATAAATACCATATTATATGAAACATGAAGTCATCTTTTGCTAAACAGATTTAAATGAGGTGAGGAGGGACTGGGGTTGTGGCTCAGTGGCAGAGCGCTTGCCTCACACGTATGAGGTCCTGGATTTGATCCTCAGCACCACATATATATAAACAAATAAAATAAAGATATTGTGTCCATCTACAACTAAAAATATTTTTTAAAAAAATTAAATGAGGTGAGGAAAGCAATTCTTTGTGATAACTGACAGATTTATAAATATAATTGTAGATTATATTAAACAATACAGTGAAATCATATGAACTCTTAACCCAGTTATCTCCAATGGTAGCATCATGCAAA